AATCTGTTCCAGATGCAAAACACAAGCAGAGGACTTTCAGTTTCAGTTTTAGTTTCACAGCAGCAAGCAACTTTAGTACAGAACAGTATAACTAAGCCGCTCCTTGCTGTCTCCTTCTTGCTCACACAATAAATACTGTTTCAATTTTCAAACAGCCCTCAATTTTCTCACACACTGACAGGTTGCTAGCCAGATGAATACGGATAGATGCTGGTAGGCCAAATTTTTTTCCCCTTATTTTCCTCCCCCAAAACTAAGCCCAATCACATAGTTTCGTAGTGAAGCACAGGTATCCAGCTAGTCCTTTATATACAAAAATAATTTAAAAAATTTTTTTTGTAACTCTGCACAATGTTCAAGAATCCTCTTTCACTGCTGCATAGTAACCACAGTTAATAAAATGGGTCTTTGATGAAATGATAAAAAAAGATGGCACTATATCTAAAGAAGCAAGCAATCAAAAACCCAGCTGGCACAGATAGCCAGAGCTCTGGTGCTATCAATGGTTGTATCTGATTAAGCCAGCTGCTAGGAAATCTTCATTTGAAGAGTTCAAGCCATGTTAATTCGAAATGCCACCTTCTGCTGCTGTGAGGGGGAAAGACTATGCTGTTATTTTATAACAGCAAATAAGCTAAGGCTTCCATTGAGAGGCTTTCATGATTAAAAGATCTTGGGGGCAAAGATGACAAGCTTAGCTAAAACATATGTAACACAGCTGCAGTGTTTACTTGCAATGAATAGGCAAGGGTTGCACAACTATTAGTTTCAGCAACTATAGGGTAATATATAACTCTCTGAGAAAGGAGTGGCACAGGAAATGTGGCTCTTTAAGCATCTACTGTTGGGAAGGGACAGTTGGGGCAATGCAAATGCTGGGATTACATACACAAAAGGTTGATAGGTGATTACAGTTTCGCTAAGTATTATTTTATATGTTTATGACTACAGAGAGATAGGTTAAATTAAAATTCAAAATGGGCATAAGGATGAATAAACATATTTATTCTGCTCTTCAAAAAGTTGCTTGTTTGATAAATAAGGAAATGGAGAAAATTAACCAGTCCAGAGATAAAACTGGCAGGCTTTGGTTAGTGACAAGCTCTGTTCAAGATAGCAAAAGTACAAGAACTGTCAATCAACCCAAATCGTTCCAATGCTGCAGGTATATGGTAAAAAATAAACAATATCAAGAACCAATACAAATAACCAACAACTAGAAAGAAGACAAGAACTAAATCTGAAGAGTAAGCTATTAGAATTAGATCAAGATGTTATTAGACTTAGTGGAGAGCAATAATTTTGGGTTTAGCTGACAAAATACTCAGAGAGAAAGAAACTATAAGAGTGGATGCACATTCCTTATAAGGGATACATGCAGGGAAAACCCAGTATGGCTGTATAAAGTCAGCCACTGTACGAAAGGATACATTAGATTATAGTTATAGTAGTAGTTGTAAAGTCTACCTTGTTTTTTTCACTGTACCCAAAAATTATTTCACAACAAAGCAGTAAACTTCCTCAAATTTTGACTTGCAACATGTTCTCAGACACCATTCTTTTAAATTGGCTCCTACTAAAAGATCATTCAGTCATCTGTCTAAGAGGAAATGGGGCATGTAAATAATTACATAGAACATTCATTGCAGCTACAACTGTATCTTTCTCCTAGATCTATATAAAATGGAATCCACACATACTCATTTATTGACTTCACCCTTAAGCAACTGCCAAACTCTGAGCAAATGAAATTGTACTGGATGAGAATACAGAACTAGGAATTCAAGTCCAGAAACGTAGCAGAGATGAGTGGAATAGTTCACAGAACTGGCTGATCCTTCTCAACTCAATGAGCCAATGAAACTGACTTGGAAGCATTCAAGCTGTCACAATGGGCTGAGTTAATCCAGCTGCAGGCCTAATACACGTCCATATGCAAACAGAACCAGCTTGTTAATATTTTTAGTGGAGTGTTTGAAACTTCTTTGACTTTAACGCATCCATCTGCAAAATGGTTTCAAATGAGAAAATGCTAGAGTGACATAAAATCCAGGCTTTTGAGATGTGAAAGTTGCATAATTTAGACTTCACCTTGCAGTTCTGCTGTCCTGTTTGAATTTTTGGGATGGGGATAAAGGAAGCTAGAATAATTGCAGCAAAAAACAGAGCCATTACTGCTGCAGCTCCAAGATAACAGAACAGAGATGAGCAAATTAACCACCCTTAGATATGAGGGGTCCTTGGCATTCTCTGAGCTTGCTTGCTTTCTTGCAGTCATTTCATTACCCAAATAGGTAACATGATTAGTTACTGTCACTGATGTTATCTAGTTGGGTAATGAAACATCTGCAAGAAACATCTGCAAGCTCAGAGAGCACCAAGGGCCCCTCATGTCAACCCCAGCTACAAATATTCTACTTTATTAGCACAGTTGGATATTTCTGAAGGAAGTCAGTAACTTCAGATGGCCTTGCAAATCATGAAGAATGCTTTGAAATATAGATCAACATCTAGAAAGCAAAATATTCCCTGTTCTCACTCTAAAATAGCATTAAGCAGAAAGTTGACAAATACATATCTTTCTTACCCAGAAAACAAGTGCAGGGCATAGTAGCTACGGGAAAGTTTTACAGATTTTGGGATTGCTATCTTGAGGGGTCCTTGGTGCTATCTGAGCTTGTTTGTTTTTTAATTACCCAAACTAGGTAACATTATCAGTGCTACTCTTATCAATTGCTAACTTACCTTTTGATTATTTCACTTGTAATCTAAAGATGTATTCCACAATCTTATCCATAATCAAATGGAGAGATGCACATGTATTAAACACATTTCTACTCAGTTGAATATCACTTATTTTTCCTTAAGTATCATTAGAACTGCATTTGAACAATCTGCACTCTTACTGATAAATTGCTTTTACTCCACTTGACTGAGATAGTTTTGGAGCTGACATTTTGAAGAGTTAGCTCTTTAATCATCTGCTCTCCATCCTAATGAAAGAACATTTAAAAAGCAACATACAATATAAGCAAAATTTCTTTCTTTTTCTTTGTATACAAAAGAACATACACTATTTATATTTGCTGTGAAATTCCAGTTATTTTGTTCAAGCTTTTCTTTGAGTGACAGCCTCCATCTCCCATCAAAGAGCAGCTATATTTGGAATAAATACATCTGGGACAGAAGACAAAATTGATGTATCAGTCAGTATATTAGGGACTGCAATGATCATAGAACCTAATTTTAGATTTGCATGTTCTGATGATGGGAGAAAAGACTGCTTAGGGACAAATAATTAAAATAATCATTCTAAAAAATTTTCAGGCAGTTATACTGGAAAAGGCAATTGTGACTGATTTTAAAAAACAAAAATCCTAAAATAGTAAAAAGAAGCTTAACAACATTGCTGAGAAAAGAATATCATGGATATCAACACATGAATTCTAATTAAAGAAGACTTTACTTTAAAGTATAGAATGAAGGGGTACAATAATTCTGAGACTACTGTCATAATACAGCCGCATTTTGAAGGAATTTAACTACAGAAGGACAGTTGGGAAGAGTTAAAAGGCAATAACTGAAAACGTAGCTGTCTCTTCTGAATGTCTTAGTATGATACAAACTCTAGCAAAATAATTTTGTATGGAATTAGCAATTATAGAGAGAAAACATAGCAGTAAAAGACCAGGAACTACCTTGAATCACAAGGGGGAAAAACTCTCAAACCAAAATTTTGGTAAGTCATATACTGATTATCTTTCAACTGTGGCTATTGTACAATTTTCAAATATCTTCATATTTTTCTGCTGGGAAAAAATGTAATTATTGTATGTATTATTGTAAAAATTACATAAAAATGTAATTTTTCACATTTACAATCATTGCAGCATCTTTGTGGTCACGTGATCGCAATTCAGGTGCTCGGCAACTGGATCACGAACTGATCATGCTGCATTGATTAACAACTGATGCACAGAAGGATGTAAAATGGGGCAAAACTGTCTCACTTAACAACAAATGTTTAATAGTGGTTGTAAGACAATGATTACCTGTACAGACTTTTATTAATATGTAGGTATGTGTGTATCTACTTACACACACATATATATGTGTATGCATACACACATGTATATCTCTGGGTGTAAATAGATGTTTCATATACATATTTTAGGGAACCCCAGGAAGGTTTTCCTATGCATGAATACACACACACACACACACATGCATGTGTGGGAAAACCTTCCTGGGGTTCCCTAAAATATGTATATGGAATATACACGTGCAAATGTATGTATGTAGTATGTATTTACATATTTTAATTTATTATCTTAGCCAAAGACTCTGGGAACCAAACCGAACTAGAAAATTATGTGGGTGGGTGTTTGTGTGAAGCACTTCCTGGCCTCTGTCCCAGGCCTAAATTAATGTATTGGGGAATTTTGGGTGTGTGTGTGTGTGTGTGTTATCCCGTTCTATTTGTGTTTTTGTTTTTAACCATATTTTGGGTTTTAACAGCCACCCCAAAGTCTGTGGCGAGGGCGGTCCTGGCAAATTTGAGGAAATAAATACATAAATGTGCAGTCCGCGTTCTGCCCTATACCTAATGTATTAAAATACACGCTTAAAGGGAAGGAAAAACTCGTTTTATTTATTTATTTTCTCTCTCTCTCTTCATCACCTGCTTCATTTCAGGGATTTAAAACTCCTCGAGGGACGAAAACAAGCCCCGCCCCCGCCGCCCCTAAGGCGCGCCCCCGCTTCCACGGGATAGCCGAGAGCGCGCGCCGCTCCTCGGGGCACAAGCTCCGCCCCCACTCGGGCGAACGTTGACGAACTCTCCTCTTCCCCCCCCCCCTTTTTTTTTTTTTTCCCTCGCGCGACGATTCCCTCCCTTTTTCTGTTCAGGCCGCCGCCGCCGCCGCCGCCGCCGCCTCCCGCGTTGCATTATGGGACACAAACAAAGTGCTCGGCTCGTCGGCTCCGCGTGAAAAGGCGAGGGCGGGGGGAGGAGGAGGAGGAGGAGGGAGAGCCCGAACGCCTGGGCCCCGCGCGCGAAGCCCTCCAGCGGGCCCCGCGCCGCCACCGTCCTTCTCCTTTCCCCGCCCTCCCCCCCCCTTTCTGCCTTCGCCCAGGCCGCGAGAGCGCCTGCGTGGCGGCGCGCGGGACTCGTTCTCCTCCTTCGCGGGGGGGGCCCCCCTCCTTTCCTCACCTTCGCCCCCTCCCCTCAGCCAGAAGAAGCCGCGGCGGCGGCCCTGCGGGGGCCGAGCTGAAAAGCCGGGACGGGGCCCCGGAAAGGGAGAAGCTGGGCCTTGGGTTTGTTGACCGACCGGCCGACCTACCACCCCTCGCCTCTCCTGCTCTCGGCCCGCTGGACGCGGGGAAAGGAGGGCCTCGCCAAGAGCAGGTAATGGAGGCTGAGGGGAAGGAGGGAGGGAGGGAGGGAAGAGAGGGGATCCTAGGCCCCGCCCCTTGGCCCCGCCCCTTCCCGGAGCATCCCGGCCTCCCCCGTGGCGCTCCGTCCGCGCTGATGCTCGAGATCCTCCCAGGGCTCGACGGGGGAGGGGGGGGGGCTTCTCTTAACACCCACCCACCTACCCGAGACCTGGGTTTGCTCAGGTGCGGGTTTTGCAACCTTGTTGCCATTAAAGCTTCATTAAGTGGGGGAGGGGGTCCTATAGGACGCCCCCCGCAAAGCGAGGGGGGGGGTTGATGTGCAGGAAGTTTCAATGTTGGGAAAGAAAGGCCTGGATGGCCTCTGTGGGTCCCCCAAGACGGAGATTAAGCTGCCAAAGTAGGTCTCCCCAGCCTGGGAGGCTTTCCAATGATGCCTTTCCAACGTATGGCGTGATACATTGATAGGGGTACGTGATAGGGATGCTGTCCTTAATTCCAGGTTAGAAAAGCTGCCCCTTTACGGTTATATCCCGGCAGGATTTTATTTATTGATTTTATTGAATTTATGTTTATTGATTTGGCACTCGGAATTTATAAAGCAAAGTCATAAAACAGGATTGTTTTTGTGTCCTTGGGGATCTCTCTCAGATGTGTCCCCTTTTTTTCAGGTCCATCATTCATTTTTGCAAGGAAAGTATGGTCTGTACAGGTAGAAGAAGCTGTTGATGCGATTAAAGAGTCTGTCCTAACATGTTTTGGCTTTAATTGGATTTCATCCTTAGCCCAACCTGTGGTTTTGGTCAGAAATGTGTCTTGCTCAGCCCTTTATTTTTGGCCATCTATTTACTGGTGAAGAATGTACATTAATTTGCTTGGTTTTCTGCCCCAGCCCTGTTTCCTTTGATGCCACATTGTATATGTGAGGTGGTTATGGTCCCCTTAGTTGATTTTTGTTATGCTGACTTGTTGGTCCAGAATGCAAGTCTTGTTCATTTTCAGTGATGATGGATCTGTAACCTGCTTAAATTTATGGGGTTCTTAGAATGTTTGAAGTTTAAAGCAAAACGAAGAGCTGCCATCTTTCTCTTTCCAAGAATGCTTTGTGGTTCAGAATAGTCCCTGTGTTATCGGAAAATAAAAAAAACAGTAGGTACGATCTCATGCTATGTTTGAAGATGCACTAACCAGTTCAAGTAAAAAAATAAAAAAATAATTACTTGTCCCTACCAAAAGGCAGCAGTTTTGATGAAATTTACCATGGCCAGAAATCACCATGATGGGCATTTTGTCAATAGAAAACCCACTTTGGCTCATGTGGAAAACCTAAGCAGAGTCAGACCTGATTAGTCCTTCAGTGAGAGACTTTCAGGTTCAAGCATTTTCAGCTGGACTGGGAAGTTGAGAAAACATTGCTGAAGAAGAGAACCACTTCTTCATCGTTTCCAAGGAAACTACTTGGACGTATCCATGCAGAATCATGCTTGGCTATCCTTTTAACTCTAGCATGGAAGTTAATTTGTGAGGGCACTCACAACAGTCTGAATATACCCATCAGCCAAAAAAGATATTTCCCCATGTGTTAAACTAAAGCAAACAAAGTACGTCACAACTTATGGCATAAAAATCAGGCTCATACCCATCATCAGAGCATAAATTGCTTAAAATCTGACTACAAATATTTATTATGGTTTCAGAATAATGATTCCTTCCTATGAAAAGGCAACAGGTTAATAGTGCGCGTCATTTTAGCAAAAGGGTTTGTCCGATAGATCTGTTCTAATAGACAAGATATAAATGTATACACTTATTTGCTTGCATGCTGAACAAAACAAGAAAAAAAAATTGTCTATTAGTGTTTTGTTTTGTAGGCATTGGTTCAGTATTCACAGCCGGAAATATAGAGTGTTTTTTACATTATTGTTGACTGAGACTTATTTATTAGATGTGTGTATTCTGCTGAATTTGTTGGAGTCATAATGGCTACTACATGCACAGAAAAAAAGATTTTAAAAAAACTTGTTTATGCTGATAGAGCCATGGATTTGTTAATCACAGCATATTGATCTCCTAGATCATTTGTTGCTTAACATTGTCAAAAGGAATACCCACATTAAAACTGTCTTTTTTCAAAGATGCATCAGACATGGCCTAAAATATGTCATTTTTTAAAGCAGGAGACAAAGCAAACTGAGTATCATTATTTGGCTAAAAGGTAGGGAAATTGTTTTCTCTTTAAAAGTATAATCCTATGTAAGTAAAGACACATTTTAAGACACATAAAATTAGCTGAGAATTCAGTGGGTGATTGATTCTAACTTCTAACTGAAAGACCAAGGGCTGTATGGTTTAGAACAGGGTTGTCAAACTCGCAGCCCATGGACCATATGTGTCACATACTGGACATGCCCATACCTGGTTTAGTGAGGGTGGGGAGTCGCGATATCTCACTTCGCCGCTGTGACAGTGAGAGTTTGACATCCCTGGTTTAGAAGATGGAATATGTTAGGCAGGTGAAAGTATAATTGACTTTCAAGTAGATTCAGAGTTTATATCCCTGCTTTCTTGTTCCTGCTCTATGGTTTTTAACTTTACTTTCGAGCTTGCAAAATTTACTCAGTGTTGTATTTGATAAAAGTAGTAACTGTCAAAATTGACAGTATTTGATTTAGTCTCTTATCATTCTGTAGATTAGAATAATCCAATGAGTAAATACAGCATGAAATACTTTTGAAAGAATCGTTTTCTTTTTATAAGTGATTTAATTTATGTATGGTAATGCATCTTATGACAAAAATATTTGAAAGAGTCTCAATTCATGTTTGGTTTACTCTGCAAGCAAAACACTTTTCTTCTTTACAAGAGAAGAACGTTACTCTTCTTCCAAGAAAAAAAAAGATATATTTTTGGTCTCACCACCACTTTATAAAGTAGATTTGACTAAAATATAGTTACTACACAAAATTATGTCTAATAATCATAATTATTTTAAGGATTTCAATAGTGTCTGTCTTCAAGCCAAAATCCTACTGGTTTAAAATAGGTTAAGTACATGGAAGAAGAATAAGCTAAGAAATAAATGTGCTGGACAGCATACTGGCTAAACAGAGAAAGCTATAAACCAGGAAATCCTTACTTTAAATCTCACTTTTCCTATATTCTCCCTAGGTGGCCATAAGTAAGCCACACACTCAACCTCAAAATTCTTTCTGTAATAGAAGGACTATATTGACTACCTTTAGAGCAGCCTTAGCCTTAAAGGCCTGCTGTGAGGATCTGCCATTTCTGTGCATGACTTACCCCCACCGGAGACACTAAAATGCAGTTGTTAACAGGGCCTCCTTGAGGAGTGTGACCAGATTTTTTGGCAGCTGCTATGAATGTACTCTATGGCGGATCATAGAGTTCTTTGAGAATGGCTGCTAAAACAGAATGTACTGTTAGCCTATGTTGAGATGGATTTATCATTAAATCTTAAGGTTTGGAGCATCTTTTTAGCATCAACAGCGGTAAAGAGGTAAGAATAGCCTGGGAACAAATTAAGCTTCTTTCTCTCCATTTACTTGCCTTCACACAAACACATATAATCCTTTACATGTGATTGTACAAACTTTATAGTGCATGTGGGCAACTCTAACACAGTTGTCCACATTAACTTCAAAAGATTGTTATAAGGGATACAGTTAGATCATACACATGAAGTTGTTGAGCACTTGAATGCATAATACAGAAATATTATTTAAACCACTTATAGTACAAATGAAGTTTGAATAGCAGTTACATAGTTGGGTTGTTCTGAGAGCTACCTTGTTCATAGTATATATTTAAAGTTATTCTACGTCCTTAGCAAGAATTCGAGAGATTAATTGCATTCTTTGTTCATGGTGATTTAATTAAATAGGTGGGTAGTTAGATCTGTACTTAGTACTTGATTTAATTGGTTTACTGCCTATTAACTAAAATCTGACTTCTAGTAAAATCCAGGGGTAGGTATTTAGTGCTCTAAAGTTTTGCATAGTGACAATAAAACTTTTAATTTTCAGAGAGAGAAAATAAATGACACAAGAACACATTTCTATCCATTTCTACAGAAAGGTTTTGTTCATATATGAACAGTGCAGAAGGTAGAAAGGCACTGAACTAAACTGAAATAAAGAATTACCTCTATCAGATAAGCTTCTTGCCTAGGCCAGTTAATTATAACAGCAAATAGTTATTTAATACTGCAGCTACTGATCTCTGCTAGAAATAACAAACTTTTCCTGAACATTTTTATTTATAATTATTTAATGTACTGAAGTTGTAGCAAATTATTTGTTACCAATCTTGATATAAATATGTAGACTTTCTTGGTACTGTATGTTAATTTCCGTTGTTTCTATTTAGATTACCTATTGTTACCTTCAAGTAAAACTAACCCCAATTGACTTTTAAAACACCTTGAATATGTCACATTTAAAGTTTAATTTCTGGTGGTTATCATTTGTATCTTTTTTCTTTTAATTTCTTCTCCTTCCTAGAGGCCACATACTTAAAGGTAACTAGCTTTTTAAAAAATCTGATTAAACAGCAACAGGGAATTAAGAGAATTTCTGCTTTTTATAGAATACCAGATTTTCAGGCATTCTGGCCATTATGAACAATACCTAGCAAAATTGACATGAAGTGGCTATGTTTGTTTTATCCTCATACCAGTGACTCATAAAGGGTATTCAGAAATTTACCTGTTCACAAATACTTCTAAAATGGAGACATGGGTTAGGGTTAAGATATGGGCATTTTGAGGGCTAGAAAGTCTATGAAAGATTGAGGACAATAGAAGAAGGGGGTGACAGAGAAGTCAAAATTTTATTATGGTCATAGATCTGCTAAAGAGATAGTTACTGTATAGAATCTGTTTATTTTTTTAATGGCAAATGATAGTTTCTCATTGTAATTTCTTGCATTGATAATAATAGATTGGGTCAAATATAAGCTAACAAACTGAACAAAAAATGTTATCCAAATATGTGAAGCAGTAAGTAGCTTCACAATTATCTTACCATCCTGTTAATTTGGGCTGGAATTTGTTAAGATTCTAGTGCAGGCAGAATACATATATTTACTGCCTGTTTCCAGATGTATGTGAAGTAAAATAAGATGATCTCTCAGGATTAATGAAGTAACCTTTTAAAATTCAGAAATTGCTATAAGTTGGTTTGTATAGCTTTGAGATAAACTTCTTACAAAAAACATTTTCCAAGTAACTTCAATAAATAGAAACAGTTGATTAGCCTCATGTATTTTCTGTAGGGCGGAGCAAAGAAGATTGGCTCCTGTTATAGGGAACATATCAGCACAGAACCTAGATAAATCTGCTTAAGTAATCATTATCTTCGTGTATTGATCTTATCTCTTCCCTTCCCCAGCAGCAGTGACATACAGCTTTTAAACTTACAGGATTTTCAAAAGAGTTGAATTTGTGCTGGTCTGAAAGTGTTAATCCTGAACGGCAAACAATTTTTTTTGTTTGAGATGAGCTATCTAAAAACATTTAATATATGATTTCATTTAGACAATTAATTCATTGTAAAGTTAAATTAGTGTAGAAAGGGCAAGAGCAAGTACCAAATGCTTGTCTTGTTTAAACTTGAACAAGATTCCTGAAAGTCAGTTCCTTGTACAGAAGTAATTGATGTCAGTAGAAGTTGATGGATTAGCAAAATCATACACACCTTGAATGTTTCAGTAGAACAATGTGATAACAATTAAGTTTAGCCATACTGGGGGCATGAGAGATGGATTGGTATGGGAGAAGTATTGACTGGGTCAAAAATTTAAAAGAGGCAACATGAATGGTTAGAAAGTTACTTCAGAAAAGAAATAACTTGATGTGTGCTTTTCCTAGCAATTCAGTATATGCACAGATAAGTGCAGTCATTATTGTTTGAAGTAAGTTTTGGATGATAGTTGTACAGTATTTGGCAAAGGTATTTATTGCAGTGCAGACTTTTTAAATGAAAATACAGTAACTTAATTGGAACTCTAGCACAGGGCTCCTACAAGTTTGCAACATAGTATTATATGATCAAATGTGATATTTTTAAATCAAAATGTAGCTTTGATTATAATTTAATATGTTATTTTTTCCACTAAAATACTAATTGTTTCTTATACTATAATGTGTGAATTCAAATATTGTGACTTAGCATAACAGGACAAGAGATTTATTCTTATGCTTATCCCTTCTTGGTAAAACACATCCCCTACAGTATTGGTTAAGAATTATTATTCTTTTGACCCAGATTAAAATGTTTATTTATCTGGCCTTTTTATGTTTAGTTTTTCTTTATTTTTGCCTTTTAATTTGTTTTAAGGTTGTAATTCTCGTTTATTGTACTACAGGATTATTTTACTACTTTTAACATTGTTTCTATTCTGTAATTCTTTAAGATATATGTATATATACAGACTTTAGCATAGCTCTATAACTTCATTAAAATAAACAATAGCTATTCAAAACTCAACCTAATAATTTATTTTGTAGATTTTTATTAGGAAATGGTGCATTAAAAATACAGTGTTACGCATTGGAATGGATCAGTGGAACCACATTGGATCTGTATTTAATCTACAAGAACGAGCATAGATAAATAATGTAGTAGTTAAATTATTGAATCTAAGAAGATTCAGATTCTACTTCATTCTCATCTAAGGAAGGTCACTGGTTGACTTTGGGCAACCATTCTCTCATGATTTTTGTTTGGAGGGTGGGGGAAATAAGATGAAAATGCACTGTGTACACAACCTTAAGCAAAGGAAGGATATAGCAAAAATCTGCCTACTGTTACTCTTAATTCAAGTAATCTCACTGGCTGTCTTGGGCCGGTCATGCATTCTCAGTGGAATCTGTCTCACTAGAAAGTTATGAGGAAAAACAGGAGGAGGTAGAGTTGTGTTATATATGTCACCTTGAGTTCCTAAATGAAAGGCAGGATTATGTAAATAAATATGTCTGCTAGACTTGCTGAGCTCAATTGGTATCATTTGGTATGTGCTGTGTATGTGATTATAGCCTGCCGTTTGTACTTTATAGTGTACTGTTTCGAGTATCCCAACCATATCTATCTATATTTGTGTATACACAAACACATTAAATTACCTGATTGTATAATACGCAGACATGTAACATAATCAACCCCCACCCCAAGACTTATTTAGAATTGTATAGCTTTAAAAACATGATCAGTCATGCCTAAGCATTATCTTTCAGATAAGATCATCTGTAAGAAGGTGACCTTAAATGCCCATTTTAGTATAAGAGAAAGTTCTACTATATTTAGAAATCCATGAGTATTACTGAAAGCAGCTGTGGTATCAGATGGAGCAATTACATTCTTGACAACACTTGAAAATATTATTGACTCACCTCATGTGATTTTATTATGTCAAAAAGATTATGCAAATACTTTTGACACGGTATCTTAATTTTCTGAAATTACTGAAGAGTATTTTTTTCATATTTGCTATCAAGTTCGACCACTTATTTAATAGGCAAGTGAACTCTGACAGGATTAATTATTCTTGAGTCTACATTAGCTTGAAATCTAATCTACATGATTGATTAAGGATTTGAAGCAGTGAACTTACAAAATCTGAGCTTCTTACAATGTGTGTTATAGGGGAATCCAAGCTTTAGCATAAAAGTCTTTGTTTACTAAACTGTCCAGAGTATTATATATCAATTACAATTCAAGTTTCAAATAATTATATATTGTATTTTTTCTAAATTTTCCTGCAAGCACAGTTGTACACTATTAATGATGATTGGATTATAATTTTGTCAAAATTCCTATTGAAGCAGAATAATCAGTAATGTACCAAGAATAATTTCACTACAGGAAATGTAAAATTTTATTTCATGTTCCTGTAAAAATCATAAAAGAGGCAAACCATATTTATAGCTAGCAATGCTGGACGAGATTTGATTACAATATTTGCACCACTTGCAATTTCCTGAAAATTTACTTAGATACTACGTCTTACCATTGTTTAAACTAACTACAGTTTGGCCTTATTCCGAGAATATATCAAGCAAAGATTCTGACACAGCATCAAAGACGAGAAAGGAGCATTCACATCTGTGATTAAGCAGATTTTTGTTAATAAGAACAGTTCACGTAGCCTTTATTTGCCATTGACACAAATACAACATTTCAGTCTTGTATGTCTTGTTTGAAATAATTGACAAACAAGTAATATATTTTCACCAAGTTAGCAAACACAGAAACATTATTTAACTAGCACTCCTAAGCACATATTAATGACGTGTTTTATGATAAATTCCCAGAGTTTTAGCTTTTACATAATTATGTAACTGAAAAAACTTTCCCCTTTTTTTTTCTTTTCTAGGTCCATTTTGAGTATTTGTCGCAGCAAGTATACAAGTAAAATGGGCGTCAAAACATTTACCCACAGTTCCCCAGCTCACAGCCAGGAGATGCTTGGAAAGCTGAACATGCTACGTAATGATGGACATTTCTGTGACATCACCATTCGTGTCCAAGATAAAATCTTCAGAGCACACAAGGTAGTTCTGGCAGCTTGCAGTGACTTCTTCCGTTCCAAATTGGTTGGCCAAGCAGAAGATGATAGCCAGAGTGTACTTGACTTGCATCACGTGACTGTGACTGGCTTTCTGCCTCTTCTGGAATACGCCTACACGGCAACATTGTCTATTAACACTGAAAACATTATTGATGTCTTGGCTGCTGCTAGCTATATGCAAATGTTCAGCGTTGCTAGCACCTGTTCTGAGTTTATGAAGTCAAGTATTTTATGGAACACGCCCAGTAGTCAGCAAGAAAAGGTGCTAGATACAGGCCAGGAAAACAGTGCAAACTGCAATTTTACATCACGGGATGGCAGTCTTTCTCCAGTTTCCTCGGAATGCAGTGTGGTAGAAAGAACCATACCTGTCTGCAGAGAATCGCGGCGGAAGCGTAAAAGCTATATTGTAATGTCCCCAGAAAGTCCACTTAAGTGTAACACCCAGACAAACTCCCCACAAGTTTTGACTACTTCAGCTTCCTATGCAGAGAGTAGAAGTCATCCTGTAGACTCTTCCTTATCTTTTCCTTGGACTTTTCCTTTTGGAATTGACCGAAGGCTCCAGTCAGAAAAAGTGAAACAAGTAGAAAATTCTCGGACTCTAGAAGTGCCTGGTCCCTCTGAAGCATCTAGAAGAATTTCCGATTATATGACGTGTGAGAGCACAAAAACCACTTCACCCCTGGTGATTGAAGAAGATGTGCGTGTAAAAGTGGAAAGGTTGAGTGATGAAGAAGTACATGAGGAAGTATCTCAGCCTGTTAGTGCATCCCAAAGTTCTTTGAGTGACCAGCAGACAGTCCCTGGGAGTGAACAAGTTCAGGAGGACCTTTTGATCAGTCCACAGTCGTCATCTATAGGTAGAATCACTTAAATCTATGTGTGTTTCATTGTTTCTTTATGTTCATTCTGAGTTTACAAGTGGTTCGCAAGAAATACCAGTGCCGTATCTTGTAAAAGTTGACTGTTTTCACTGTATTTCAGACAAAATGATTTGTCAAATTCATGTAATCCAGAAGTGTTCAATCTCCTTTCTTTCAATTTTAAACGTTATTTGACGTGCACATAAATAATTGCTTTGATTTGTGATATGTTAAACATTTTCCACAAGCCATTTTAGATACTTTCTGTAGAAAACAAGTTAAAAGTAATAAACCAGTCTACAATCTACACTAGAAGTTCTATTGAGTCAGTGGGCCTTATTTCCTGACGAGTTATTACACTTTGCACAGCAAGGCAAGAGAAGAGTTGTTCCTTCTGTTTTGAAACTCCCAAGAAGAAAACACCTAAATCAAAGAAATTTAGTTTTGTTGCTGCTTTGAGGAAGCAGGAAATAGTTGTAGTGGCAATGCCTCAGTAAAATTATATTGCCTTTTCTTGCATCGTATTTTGAATAGCTGTTATGTTAACAATAGATATTGGCTACGTTTCAGTTCAAGTTAAATTGTTTTGCCTTTTTTTTTAGCAGTTGTGAATTTTTGAATAGAAGAAAAACAAAGGTGAATGGTTTTTACAGTATTATTAGATACCCATATATCTAAACTGCCAGAAATATGACAGTATGGTTTGTCAATAAGAAAGGCAAAATTTATTTTCCTGCAGCCCTTGGAACAAAACTAGTTTACCAGACTAACGTAATCCAATCTATTACCATTCAACACATGGAAATGGGAGTTCAGGAAATAAATTTCCAGTGACATGTGGTTAGTCATACAGATTCATTATTGGAGCAGAGTAACATCTTAATTGTGTGAAATTAGGACATGACCTTTTTAATGACTTTTCAAGAAAAGAAATGGCTAAAATCAATTGCTAAGAGGGAAAGTATAGTCTTTAAGAAAACCTCCTCCCACAGAAGCCCCTGGAAAACTATACAAGTGCCCTAGACCTACATCAAGGATATGGACATCTTGTGGCAATGAAACTTGCCCTGCACACATTCCCCATTCCACCCCACAAAAATTGTTTATGTGCATGTGTTTTAACTGTGCTTTTTAATCGTTTATCTTCTTCAGTTGTGGGATTTTCCTCACTGTTATAGCTGAATGAGAAGGAGTTGAATTCTCATGAGGAAGATATCTTCCAATTCTGATTCAGGTTTTTTGTTCTATGAATGTTCCAAAGAAACCTCAGTGATCTGGAGCATAGTTTAGTATTCAGTTCTTTGCTATCTTTTTCATACTCATTCAATTTCTTGCTGGTTTTCTTAGGAGCTACACATGTCATCATCGAGTCTATTTTGGAGGTTTTGGACATGAATTTCTAGATTATTTAAATTGCCCTCCCTGAGACAATTTCCCTAGGACACTAATTATGCCCATGGAATTCTCCTTGCCCTGCCTAACATTTTGTTTTAAAGGAGTATTTTAATTAAAAAATGGAACACTTAAGTTTCTAAGCAAAAGGGCCTGCCTCAGTTTCATTCTTAATTTCTATAGGTGTCCATGGTTTTGGAGTGGACCTTTTAAGCAATTTTAGAAAACAAAACGATAGGTATTGGCTGCCCAGTTTTGTGGGTATGCCTGTCTGGAAAGATGACAAACATAAAATGGAGTCATATGGGGTATCCTTTCATGGAATGAGACTAGAAGGGGATGAAGGTAGCATCCTTGGTATGTAAATTAGAGTTTGGTGTGTCTCCCAGGGCAGCTATTGTAGCCCTTCTTAACTGGGTAGGTTAGAGCATCCACAGCATTTCTCAAAATATCAGATGAACCTATCGGGCCAGAAATATTGAGCACCATGTCTTATATCGTGATTGCTTACTTCACTGCATCTTCATTTGGAGGTATATTACAGTAATTTTAAAAGTATGATAGTCATTTTTAGAGTAGATAAGGTAAGAAGATGCAAATAGAAATTCATTAAAGAGCAAATTTATTTTGTTTCTGGTTAAAATAACACCAATTTCCATCATTGGTTTGTGATTTACATTTGATCAGAAAGTGTTTGCCAAATAATTAGAACAATTTAGATAGAATATAATGCACAATATTTTAACGCAGGAGATTTATAAACCAAAACAAGTTTTGATGATTTCCATTTTCTTTTATTTATACATAATACAAATAATAAACTTATAGATAATAAATATTTGATTTATTAAATCGTTTAAGTGTTGTCAGTAAGTAATTCTTCAAAATCATCATACTTTAAAAAAAATTGGCATATTAAGTAGAATTTCTTGTTGGGTGATTAAAAACACAATAGCCAGCTTTTTAAACTTACTTTCTCTTAAACCCCAGTGCATTAATAAACTATATAATGGAGGAAAATGACTACAGAAATCCATCTATGGAGCTCAGCCATAGCTTTTTAAATGAAGTTAATTTGTTAAGCAAAAGCTTGGAACAATGTTCTCACAGTAAACAAAAACCTTCCAAAATGCTTTTTATCAACAGAAACATTTTGATTTGTAAAACAATCAAAGATTATTTAATACACTGATATTATTGAATATATAGTTTACAAACACTTTATACTGTAAAACTAATATGGTATCCCAAAGTAAGGAAATCAGACATGCATTTCAAGTGTTTTTACCCAATCGTTCTTATCAAAACAGACCATCTCACCAAACATCTCAGACCCGCCTTATTTGTTACTATTATTTTTTTAAAAATCCATATACTTGAGTGGACCATCAGTGTTGATTAAAGGCATTTTGCATTTTTATGTTATATAGGTAGTGTGGTGAACAAAATGCCACTCTGCGTCTTTCCTGATCAGTTTGGCTGAATGTGTGCAAAAAAGAACGCAGGCTTTGGCCATGCCAGCTGAACTTTCTCATTTGCAGGAAGGCAGCAATGGGGTTCCAGCTGCAAAGCCATCAATATAGAGCTGGGACAAACAACCTGTTTGATTTTCATGCTCCTTTGTTCATACTAACAGTTTGCATTATTCTGTCTGAAGATGCAAGACCTTAAAAGTGGTATGAGTGTTGACAGTTTCCTGGGATATCAAATAGTTTTAGACAAGTTGCTGGTTGCATCCAAAAAAAAAATAAGGCCATTGATGAAAAGGACTCCTTCGTCAGCAGTAGTTTAGATAGAGTCCAAAAAGTAGCTGCAGTAAAAATTTAGCACCCCCAGTTTGTTTTTCCCCCACTTCTGATCCTTTTAGGGATACTCTTCCATGGGGATTAGTTTACTTCAATTTTTCGTAGGTCATTTGAGCCTTTTTTTTTTAGTGATGCATAAAAATGTTTCAAATGCTACATTTATTAGAGAGAAAAAGAGGGATTGGTCTTGCTTTACTGCATGGATACATGAACAGGAAAAAAAATTCACCCATCAGCTTGTCCCTCGGTGCATTGAGAATTTTAGCCATCACTAGGATGCACTTTATCTTCATTATATTAACATGAGTTGGAATGCCTTTACCATATAACTTCTAGATTGTTATTTGTTTGGTTGTTTTCATTTTATCACCAGCATTTAGCAGAAGGTTAGACCTGTTGACTGATATAGTCCCTTCCAATTCAGGCTTTATGATTTGAAAGTATATCTCCAACCCCATTCTCTTGGACCATATTATGCTGGCATCTCATTTACCCATAATTAAATTTAAAAGTCATCTGATAAGACCAGTGGTGGAATTCAGCCAGTTCACAGAAGTTCGGGAGAACCAGTTGTTAACTTTCTGAGCAGTTTGGTGAAGTGGTTTTTGGAAGAAATCGTTAGGGCAGAGAACCGGTTGTTAAATTTATTTGAATCTCACCACTGGATAAGACTTTATAAATACCATTTTGAGTGTAATTGGAGATATATGCATATTGTCTAGTCACTTTCAATTAGCACTGACAGTACCCTTAATATTTAAAATATAATATGCCGACATATGCCTTATGTTGTAAGGCTTTTGATTCATGTAGCAACATCTAGATGAACTTCAGAAAAGCTAAGCAAAGTCAAACCTGATAATCCATGAATTGAACCACCAGAAAATTCAAGATTCAAGGCTATATTGAGAGGTTAAAAAAAAATTCTGGAAGAGAGTCTTCTTGGTAACAGAAATTAAATGGTCTTGATTGTGAAGTGATCAAGATTCAAATTTGGCTCAAGGAAGCCGCCTTCTTTTTTAAATCTAAGATAATCTGCTGTAAACAGCGGTAGCTTCCCAGGGTCCGGCACAAGGATCGTCCCAATTGTGTGCCTTTGACAATCCTTTAAATGAAGGCGCCTATAACTGGAAACCACAATCATGTTTAGGAGACATTTATCTCATTACTGAACAACGATCCTTTCTTTCCCTCATTGTTTTCTAAACCAGTCAGATATTGATGGAGAACAATAGCATGTTACAGTTAAACAGAAGTCAGTGCCTTAAATTGATGCTCGTTTCTTTTTCGTAGATGTCGAACACTAAAAATAAACTTACCAGCCCTAATGGTTTTTCAGGGTCACACTGGAATCCTATACCCACAGGATTCTGTAAATATCCAGGTCACCACAGCTTTCAGTTTTTAAACACATTGAAATCCAAGTTATTTTAGCAGTTCCAAACAATATAAGTAGCCTAATATTGTGATTGTACTGACTCAGGAATAAATTCCAATGAATTTAATGGGACTTCTAGTTCTGTTGGTAGCCATGAGTTAATAACAAATGAAGCAAGTCCCGATTCCTTAGAAATAGCGGCAGAGTTCTGTCTCCTGGAAAACTGGATGTATGTGGTTTAAGATATCACACACTCCGAATCCAAAATAGTAATCTGCTTTGGAATGTGGTTTCCAGTAAATGACATGCCCAGTAAAAGACCTCCCAGGCTGTACAGGTAGTCCTCGACATACAACAGTTCATTTAGTGACCGTTCAAAGTTGACGACACTGAAAAATGTCACCTTTGCAGCATCCCCATGGTCATGTGATCAGAATTCAGCTGCTTGGCGACTGGTTCACATTTATGACTGTTGCTGTGTTCCAAGATCATGTTTTGCAACCTTGTGACAAGCAAAGTCAATGGGGAGATTGCCAGATTCACTTAACAACTGAAACTCATTTAACAGATGTCTCACAACAGAAATTTTGGGCTCAGTTGTGGTCGTAAGTCCAGGACAGTGGTGGGTTTCCAAATTTTTTCCTACTGATTCTGAGAGAGCGCTTCGCTCAAAATTCCACTACCGGTACACCAGAACCAATTCGAATCGGCTGAATACCACCTCTGGTCCAGGACTACTGTACTATATTGAGGGACTAATAATCTCACCACATTTAACAAATCCTCCTCCTGCACCTTTTCACTGTTCACGGTTTTGAAATGGCTTCAGTACAGATGAGTAGAAACACAATACTAATGAATGCTGCACATTTAACGGACAGCAAATCCTTGTCTTTTTTCCATTAATTTTGCTTTAGACACACTCAACTTCAGTTAGGACTCTTTGGGATGTACGGAGCTATAAGCAACACAAATCTGGAGAAAAGTTATCAGGAAGAATATGAGCTTTGCAATTATTTGATTTTGCCTCTGCATTATACTGTTTAGCCTTCCTTGGGCATTGTTTAAACAAACTGGCTTTAATTACAGTCTCCTGCCTCCATTTAATATGTATCTAAGCCGCCTGAAAAATCTCTTGAATTCATATATGCCAAATTTATTAAAGTTTGTTCTTTATAAATTATGCAGATTGCTTTACATCATTATCGTATTGTGTTATAACAGAATTCTTAAATATGGCAGCATATTTTACTAACTAGCATAACTAACTGTTGTTAGTGAAAAAGTTATGAGGATGAAAAAAAATAATTGCTATGGTTCCATTAAATTGTAACTTAATATGTATGATTTATTTAACTGCCCCTAGGTTCAATAGATGAAGGTGTCACTGAAGGATTACCAACACTCCAGAGTACTTCTGGTGGGAATATCCATGTGGAAGATGATGACCGGTATGTATAAATATAGTATACAAAGCATTCTGCAGAACAACCTTCTTCATTTTGTCTCTGTTATGGTTCCTAGAATTTCCAGCCAGTGGAGTAGTTGGCCATGCTATCAACAGTGCCAGGCTGGAGGAAAGTGATGTATAACACCTAAACTAGATCCCTGTAAATAGATTGCTGTGTTGAGTCATCTAAGATGGTGACAAACACGACATGTATCTCCTTTGAATTCAACCATCCCTGGAAAAATGCAGGATTTTCTAAACAAGTGGAATTCAGAGCCAGTAGCCAGTCATGAGATTGAAGATATGAGGTTCATGAACACAAAGCTCCAATGTTCACCATCCACACTGCCTGTCACCAGACTATTTTTTTACATTTTACATTCCTAAGCAGAACAAGGAAATTTTCAAGCTGGGATACTACTTAGACATAGAGTTTCCTAGGTGACCTTGAGGCAGTCATGGTTTCTGACAACCTAGCTTCCAAGAGAAGGAAGCTCAGGGTTGTGCTGTGGGGTCCTTGATGATCTCTGAGTTTGGTTCTTTTCTTACAGGCATTGAAGAAAACAACCAAGTCCAGAGAGCATCAAGCACCCCACAATCTAACTTCCTTTTCATGTACATGTTTGGGTTTTGTGCATATACCATGATGGATAACTTGGCTTGCAATACAACAAATACAGTTTTAGAGTGGTTAAAATCAGGATTAGCAGAACAGAGTAAATCTGAGCCTTTATGTAATCCAAATTAGGGACATACTTTCAATCAAGTAGATACCCACTTTTTAAAAATACAAGTGAACATCTACCCAAAAGATTTAGAGGTAGAAGAAGAAGAACATATCACAAGATTTAACGTGGCCGCTAAGTGGTATTTTAAAAAAGCAAAATTAAAAGCATAACACTCTTACGCAGCACTTGGATTGTTTAAACAACATTATCTGGAATAGATATAACTGTATAACATTTGTGCCCACAAAATATTTCTGACCTTTCCAAATGTACACCAGTTTAATCATTCAAGTATCAGCTGTTGAAATGATAACCAGAATTTTATACCAGGTTCACTGATGATATTATAATTGCAGCTCTTCATTTTCATACATTGGCCCATCTCTTTCCTCAAGACTTCCACCTTGTTTAAAATTACCTTTTTCAATCATTCAGAATTCAGTCATTTAATATGGTTTGGTAGACTTTTTTTTTATTATTGTTGCATTATTATCTGTTTGCAACAAGAAGTCACAACAGCCAGTTCTTTAATTGATATTGGCCTTTGTGCACATTAAGCTCTTCTCAAGAACCTAGGATGTCATAGGTTCGGTGTAATGTGTGGGTCCAAGCAGTGTGGTCTTTTGCAACTAACAGATGGAAAAATTATCCATGCACAGATTTTCTAAGTGCCATCCAAGATTTCTTGGTACGGCATCCAGTGTGCCACTAACCATTGGAACCACCACAGCTACCATAATCTTTCAACTTCATTTTTCATATCTTGATACTTTATGATCTCCAGTTCTTTGTCTTTGATCCTAATGTCTTCATTATTGTCTTTCTAAAATACGTTCATGTTGTATTTTGTACCCTTCACCTTTTTCCTCTTGGTCTGCTACTAAAAGAGTTCTTTATTTGCTTCTTCAGACTGGAGAATGTCCAATACCCTTATCAGCTCTATATTGCTCCTACAACCAGCAGCACAGAAAGACCTAGCCCAAATGGTCCTGACAGACCTTTTCAATGTCCAACTTGTGGTGTTCGATTCACCCGTATTCAGAACTTAAAACAGCACATGCTCATCCACTCAGGTAAGGATATCTGTTGGTCTACTTCCCAAAGGTATCATTTGAACAAGAGTCTATAAAGGTAGTCCTCATTTAGCAACTGCCTCGTTCAATGACAGTACACAGGTTTAGCAGCATGGCTCTGTAAAGTCAGACTGTAAGCACAGTTGTAACCACGGTCCCAGTTGTGGTTGCTAAATGAGGACTACTTGAATGTTTTGAAGCAATGTATGGCCCCTACTGCAAGAATGCAATAAAATGGGGGAAAAAACGGCCTTGATTTCTGGAAAGCTGAGAATTTAGCCTGGAAAGCAGAATGCTTCATATGAGTTTGTGGTTTTTTTTTTTCCCTAGAAATAAGAACATGGTAACAAATGCATCAGACCTGGTTTTAACCTTTATGTATTTCTCTTATTCTATTGAATCCTTGAATCCTGGCTTCATGCAATATAAGAAAGTGTTTTACATAAATATAAGATTTTCTCCCTTTTAAAAATTATAAAGGAGGTTATGTTTTTAACACAGATGAGTTAATAATTGTTCCAGATAAATATGACATATCTCCCCTAGTAGGCCTCTGTATGTGCCTCCGATTTATGCTTCATTCTTTTATTTTTAATAATTAACAAACTTTTAATGTATTTTTTGACTTTGATTGATACATCACTCCAATTGTGACAACTCTGAGTGGCTTACAGCCCCCGACCCAAGTCGGAATAAAATTAACAAAACCCATTAAACCAGAAATTACGATCAATAGGATGCACCACTGCTGGGCTTAACATGTTTTTGTCCATTCTTGCACTGAATAGATGTGCTTTCTCGAATGTAATAAGAGAACGGTGGTCTGAATAGCCTTTATCTTACTTGATACTCAGTTCACAGATTTAAATACTTAGTTTTGGGGAAATGGGATCCAGTGCTTGGAAGTTTGGACCGAACTTGTTTTTTAGAAGTTTACACAGCCTTGGTGCAAATAGGCCGACCCGTTGCCATTAGAAGCGGCTGGATTTTTATTCCCGATGCTTTTCAGTGGTGAAGATTTTCTGCTTATTCTTCTTCTCCGCAGGCATTAAACCATTTCAGTGCGACCGCTGTGGGAAAAAGTTCACCCGGGCTTACTCGCTAAAGATGCATCGCCTGAAGCACGAAGGTAAACGCTGTTTCCGGTGCCAGATATGTAGTGCCACTTTCACTTCCTTCGGGGAATATAAACACCACATGCGGGTTTCCCGGCACATTATCCGCAAGCCTCGGATTTACGAGTGCAAAACATGTGGCGCCATGTTCACCAACTCTGGAAATTTAATCGTTCATCTGAGGAGTCTGAACCATGAAGCGTCAGAGCTAGCAAACTACTTCCAGAGCAGGTGAGGTGCACAAAAAGAAAACGAAACTGTTAGGGCAACGTACCGTTATTTTTATCCCCCTAAACCCTCTTTTGTATAGGTAGTCCTCGACTTCACAACCATTTGCTTAGCGACCAAAGTTACAATAGCGTTGAAAAAAGTGACTTACCGTTGGTTAGGACCACTGCAGCATCCCCGGGGTCACGTGGTCAAAATTTGGGCGCTTGACATTCAGCATGTGTTTATAGTGGTCATACCATCCTGGGGGCCATTTGCAACCTTCCCAGTTGACTTCTGACAAGCAAAGGCAATGGGGAGAAGCCAGATTTGATTCACTTAACAGCTGCAGTGATTTGCATAACAAACATGGAGGAAAGGTCATAAAATCCAGCGTGACTCAAATAAACAGCCGCCTTGCTCTTAGCAAAGGAAATTCTGGTCCCAGTTGTGATTGTAAGTCAAGGACTACCTGTACTATTTCACCGCAACCTGTAGTGTCCTTTTCTGTCAGGTTGCCAAGTTTATTGCGGTCCTGGGCAGAACTCAGGTCGTTTTGTCCATAACGGCACCCTCAAGATGTGCTGGGTTCCATTTTGTGTAATCCGCAGCCAACTTGGTTGAGGCCGGAAATGGTCAGAAACTAAAATGAGCCCAGAACATTTATAGAATACCACGTTGCAGTTGGGGCCCTGCCTTGTGTCAAGTGTTTTAAAATATGACATTTATCTGTCAGTGTAGATCCGGATTTCAAGTAATCCAAAAAAAAAAAAAAAGTTGCTTTTAGATTGCTTTGCATTAATACCTTATTTTCCTTGCTTTGTTTTACCTGGACTATGCTCAGTAGAACTGAAAAGCCCGCCAATCATAGAAAAGATTCTTTTGCCCGTTTTAAATTTATCAGCTTTGTGTTAAATTGCCACCCAACCTTAAATTTATTCTTTTGTGAAGGAGGCTTTTGGTGCAGAAGCTTTAAAGTTGTTTATATATACCATGTAAATCTAACAGGCATCTCAATGCTAGGTTGTGCTGTTGTTTAAGTCGGGCCGTTCTCATTTCTTGGCAAAAGTAGATACCCTTCGCTTAGCTCTATTGCTGCAGTTAGCATCAACCTGCGTCTTGCTGACCAGTAACCTGTTTCTAACTTTTTGCCCCCCTTTTCAGTGACTTCCTAGTACCAGACTACTTAAACCAAGAACATGAAGAGACTCTTGGCCAGTACGAGCTAGGAGAGCATGGATTTGAAAGCAGCTCTTCTGTCCAAATGCCGGTTATTTCGCAGGTCTCATCGACGCAGAATTGCGAAAGCACTTTCCCGTTGGGTCCTCTGAGTGGGCTGTTAGAAAAGGAAGAAGACCTGCCAGAGCAGCCAAAAACCATCTCAAGCGCCGAGGCCGGCCGAGAGGAGCTCCCGAAGGCCGGGCTCTCATCTATCACGATCGAATAAGTCAAAAGTTTGATTTCGGGTTTTTGGATTTTTTTTTTCCGTCTTTTTGGAAAGTGCCTGTGTTTTGGTCTTGTACATTTTAATTTAATTTTCAGGAGGGGGCGGAGTGAATGTACCCCTTTCCATTTGATAAGCTATGCTGTTTAAAAGCTCTAAACTGCAACCAATGTCACACTATTCTTCACACCTTAAAACGGTCCCTTGTATGGAAGCATTTGAAAATGCAGAGGAAAAAGTTGGTCAGAATAAGATGGTTCCATTCGAAAGAGCAGCCAAGCACACACCAAGTGCAAAATTAGGCCTAACAACTTTCGGCATTGGTTTGCCACCCTAATTTCGCAGCACCTCTGGTTAAGGAAAAAGATATTGATGGCTGTTAAAGATTTGTTTTGACTACAGTATCCAGTTCAAGCAGTTAAATAACTAGTGTCGTAGATGTTTGATCATTTTGTGTTTTTGTTTTTGTTTTTTTTAGTTAGAAGGAATCACTTTTAGTCTTTCAGTTCTGTGGCATGCGCATCGTTAAAACCAGATGATTCATTGGCTTTGGCAAAACAGGTGGGGCGGAGTTTTGCTCACCTGTGCTGGCCATACCTTTTATAATCTTCTCGTGCAAATGGCCTTATCCAGAAACTTCATTTCCAGAAGTCCAGCTGTCAAGAAATCCTGCAAATTGGTTTGCTAGGAAAGTATAATGAGAAGTGAGTTAACAAAAGTCAAAAGCGCCTTGGCGCATTAATGTGCTCTTTTCAAGTTAGCCTGAATGTGTGTGCTATTTACTGCAATTTTATTAGCCTGTGGTTTTTTTTTTTTTAGGTAAAAAGAGCCATTTATTTTTCTTTAGAGGCCGAGTTTCAAATCAGTGAGAGTTGTTTACAAAAGACCTGTTTGCAATGATAAAATGTTCCTATTCTAAATTGTTTATATACCCTGGCCAAGCTGGTTTCATAAAAGCCATTACTCTGACTTCAAGTACAGGTCCAGCAAACAATCACCAAATTATTATTTCCCCTAAAAGGATTCTAAAGGCAACAAGGGGCATTTACAGGCCAGCAATTTTGGTTTTGTTGCCAGCATCTTATTGGTAAGTCTAAAATGATATGTAATATTTTATTCCCCTCGATTTGGGTTTGTTTAAACCATCTTTATTTTTTTTAAGGATGAGATTTATGAGGGGGACATAAATAATTCGAATTTCATGTTATCAGACTAAGAATATAGTAGAACACAATAAATGGGGGAAATGTTTAAATAATTGTAAAAGCTTTATGAAAAGTTTATGAAAAGCTTTGGAAGTAATAGTTCCAAAGAATTTTTTTTAAATTAGCAAATTACGGAATCAAAGGAGACTTACTTGTACTTCTCTGCAACTTCTTAAAGGGCTTGATATAATTATTAAAAAAGATTAAATTTAGAGTATTTTATGAGATAGGCGTAGATTTTTCTTCCAATGAATTTTAATAAAAAAATTAAGTCACTCTTCCAGATTGGTAAAGAACATGTTTTAGTAAGGGATATTTTCAGGTTGGAATGTTTCAGAATATTTATTAAGTAAAATAAATCTCATATCAGGAAAGAGGACATTGGCTACATTATACATACAGTGATTTTACTCATCTAGTAATTATTAAGCTATTTATTTTCTTCCATATATGTAAGATGAAAGCTATTTAGTCACACATTTCATTGAGAGAGTTGTCTTAACATCTAAATTAAAATACACCACTTTTTTGGGAGAGTGGAGGAATCACACTAACATATTAACTGCATTCCAAACAAAATAGATGAATATAAAATAAATACAATAAATATTAAGAAAGGGTTGCAAATTGGTTACCTCAGATCTAAACAGAATAGGAAGCAAATCAGTTTAATATAATAGACTTTAAAGCCTAGCAGGAATTGTGAGGTTATCTAACCTTGATCCGCAGAGCCCTTTTTTGACCTACACAGTGCATTTTGCCACCTACGAGATCAGTAATGGGGAGCAATTTGCTAGCACCGGTTGTATATTTTGTATATGCTCAGGCACACATGATGTATATTTAAAATACATTTCAAAAATTGAGTGCTTTTTGAAAATAACAGCAGAACAAGGTTGGCTTCCTGAAATGTAAAAGGTACATTTTACCTTACAGAAAAGTAGACATTTGTGTAATTCCTGTCCTATTATATTATAACACACACAAATTTCCATATCCTGGTACATTTTCAGGATTTTATAAAGCTCCGATCCAACTGGGGATTAGTCCATTTTTCTCTCGCCCTCAAAAGAGAAACCTTTCCTTACATAAGTATTTCCGATCATCAGAGCTATTTGTCAGTGAACAAACTCATTTTTTTTTTCAAGTTTCCCCCCTTTGGCTCGACATGTGAAGAAGGTAGACAGGATGACAGACATACTTTAGTGAGTAGCGGTCAAAGTGAAGCACGCAACAAGGAAAGTATTCGGAGTCTAAAAGCAGAGGGGGTATCAAGTCTTCAGCAACACACACGTTTAACTTGAAAATATAAACCCTGCTCTGTGCACAGCCTATTTTAAGCAAGCAGCGTGGCAAAGTGTTCCCAACTCAAGGAGCACCCATGAAAGTCTTGTTTAGGCCCTGAACATGTTGTATCCTGGCCAGCAGGGGCAGCAAATTGCGCTCCTCTCCTTAGCGACAGGCCCTCGGGTCAACTTATTATGGGTGATTTTCCCCTTCCATCCCAATTTGAATTTTCAAGGAGACCCTTGGCATCCCATCAAGATATGGCTACTGTCTTCCTTGTAGAGAACGACTCGGGTAACAGCTTCCAAATGGCCCAGTAGTGAACTTAAAAAGGTTTAAAAAGGCTTTAAAAGCTCTCTAGATTTTCATGGAATAGAACTCGTCTCAATTTAAGCTTCTTTTTTTCAAGATACTAAAGAGTTTTGTTTTTTTTCTCTTTGTGGACTGTGCCTGTCAGTAACAGGTGATTATTAGTAAAACAGGTTAGTATCGGTAATTTAGGCAACACCGTCCTTTAAAGTTGCTAGGACAGGTGCGTCAAATGTAGGCCGGATGCATCATGCCCCCCCCCCCCTGCCCGGTTTAACAAAGGGGGAGAAATTCCCGATCCATCATGTGAGGCCACAAGTTTGACACCCCTGTGCTAAGATACACGCTTGACTATTTATCCATCTGTAATGTGCTCTCAGAGTCCAATGTATACGATTCACGTTTTTGTACCAATGAATTGGGAGAAAGGCTTGTATTCCCATGGAAAGCATCTGTTCCCAAATTCAGTATGGAAAGAGATATATTTATTTAGTCCTATTTTCTGACTTCTCCCATGGGACAAAAGGAGGAGAGAAAAGCAGACAATTCCATTTTTTTCTTCAAGCTGTTATAAAATACCCATTTTGGGATTGCAAATATTCTTTCACCAGCTTCTTAAAACTTTTTTTTTTTAACCAGTTAATCTTTCCTCAGACTGACCAATTTCATGCTCCCAGTTCTAATGCAAATACAACAGTCAATGTCTTTAAGAATAGTTCTAGTTTTGGCACTTACCATTTGTCTGGAAAGTGTAAATGTGAATCTTTTTGTTTAAGTAACCAGTGCCGGTGTAGCAAAATATATAAATATATATATATATTTTATAAAAACTATAGTCCCTAGGCCCCAGGTCCCCAAAGAGATTAAAATTGTATTTTTTTAATAATGCAAAATTTTGAATAATGGCATTGGCCTGTTCGTTTGCTTTTCTTTTGTGGGGAAAGGGTTACTAATTTTTTTTCTCACCAGCCTAAAGATGGCAGAGGGCTAAATCTGAATCCTGGTATCTTAAAAGTCTACAGAACATGGCAACCAGGAGTATTTGGATAGCATTAAATGCAAACAAACTTTCCTTTCTTGCTTGCTGCTTTTCTGCAGATGACAAGGCTTTTCTGTTTTTTGTTTTTGTTTTAATAAAGGCAAAATGAAATATTGCTCATGATCTCAGACCATGTTAGGAAAAAAATTCCCGCCTAGGTCCTACTGTACTTTGCAAGTTATCATTGGGTGGCATGTAGGCAGGCTGATCAATAGAATCCAATTGGTATTGTTAAAAGATGCGGTTGTTTTTTAAAATGCAAAATGTGCTGTTTTTAAAGTTGGCTGTTTTTCTTTAAATTCTCCATATTGTATCAACCTATTCCAGCTGCTTTTTCTGGAGTATTTGGGGACCCCTGAAAAATGGATGGCACTGTTGTTCAATTTAATATATAATGCTGCATGTTGCTGGTTTATTCGAACTACAGCCCTAGAGAGTGTATTTCCTGGCCCAACATCTGCACACCTGTCTTGTCTCTGGGCTGTTACAAAAACCGTACAGGGAAGGAGATAAAGTTGTCGTTAGAAGACAGAATCAATTCCTAAAGGGCCATTCTAGCATGTGACTTTACTTACTTTCCCCTTTAACTGTGCCAGTCCCTGGTCACCAGCCACATCTCATTCAAACCACACACACACACACACCCCTCGGCTGTCTGTCTGTGCTGACCATAGCTAAGCTTTTTAGCATGTTGATTGACTTAATGGGAAGACAAATGTTTTGGGTTTTTTTTAAATGTTGAAATACACTTTACATTTTATATACTATATCTGGCTATTAGTATTTTTAAGGAACCCATAGTTCTTGGTGGCTATATATATATATATATATATATATATTTTTGTGACTTTTTGTAAACTAAAGTGCCGTTTCACTGTTACAATCATTTTTAGAGTTCTTGTAATCAATGTGAATATCATGGTTTTTTCAAGATTTGTTCTGAGCCTGTAGTGTTTGCTTTTGTGATTCTCTGTGTAATGTATATATTATGTATAGTTACCTTGTACTGAAATATTAGCTTGTTTGATATAAGATGAATATGTATTGGGTACCTTTTTTGCTAGCCTGGTTGTTTAAACTTTAAAAAAAAAAGCCTTCAAAATTTTGAAAAACGATTGATCCCATTATAAGACAAAAATTGAGCAGAAAGAAAAACTAGTTTTGAGTGTCTTTGAATAGAAACACAATGCGAAGATTTTTCATTAAAACATTAATGTTTTACGGAGTAAGTATTTCTGTCCTGCAGCATTATTTCTTCGTCATGTCACAGCTGTTTTTCAGTAAGAAAAAGGAGTACCTAGGCTTCCTATAAGATTGGAAAATTCTTGTATTTGCAAAGAGGTTTATGGCATTAAGGCCAGCTTGCCATTGCTCTAAGTATTATTTCTCAACCTTGGCAACTTTAAGATGTGCAAACTTCAACTCCCAGAATTCCCCAGGCAGCATGTTTGGAATCAAGGACTCTGGGTTGTCAAATTATCCAAATTAGCATCTCTTTAGGATACCAGTCCTTTATACCTATGGCCTAGAGTCTCTTTGTTGTAGTGGCTGAAGCATCAAAAGCTAGAAACACAGAGACCATGAGTTTTAGTCCCAATTTTGGCATGAAGCCAACTGAGTGACCTTGGGCCGGTCACTTTTTCTTAGCCCTGGGAAGGAAGCAATGACAACCATTTCTGAAAAAACTTGCTCAGAAATCTACAGGATCTGTTCCAGGCCGTGTCCAGGAGTCAACATTGATTCAAAGGAACGGGGTGTGGGGGGGATCGGTTACCCAAACTTGCTTGCTTCTGAGTAAATTTACATAGAATTGGACTATGTAGCAATAGTTTTATTCAGTCTCCTGTTTACTCTTTTTGAGTAGGCATATCTCAGAATTTTTCTTAAATGTGAAACCAAATTTGTTTTTTTAATTATCAGTTGAAAGCAAGAATCAGTTGGGTTTAGCAGTTAAAGCATCGTTAGAAAATAGAAAATTGGAAAGTCTCCAACTTTAGGTAGAAAGCTGACTGGGTGACTTTGGGCCAATCACCAGGAGATGGTAAGTTCTAGTTCCATCTTAGACATGAAAGTTGGCTGGGTGACTTTGGGCCAATCCTTAGGAGATAATAAATTCTAGTCCCACCTTAAACATGAAAGCCAGCTGGGGGACTTTGGACTTTGGACCAATCACCAGCAGATTGTAAGTTTTAGTCCACATGAAAGCCAACTGGGGGACTTTGGGCCAATCCCTCTCTCTCCGCCCGACCAATCTTATAGGCTTGTTTATTGTGGGGAAAATAGGAGAAAGGCATATTACGTTTGTCACCTTGAGTTATTGATAAACAATAATAAAGGTAGGATGAAAAATCAAACAAATACACATTTAGCCTTTCTAAGTGACCTCATGGCAATACTGTCAAAATGGCAGCTTTCACCCAGTCCCAAGGGCCAGCATTTAAGCATGTTCGTTCCAAACTAACGACTCTTGGTTTCATTTAATTAGTCCAGATTTTAAAACAGCCAGAAACTCGAATTTGGAAAGGCACTTCTGCAAACTGGTTGCTTCCCAGCCAGACCTTTTGCTGCTGCTGCTGCTGCTGCTTTCGTGAACTGCTCTGGACAGAGATGAGCTTGTTCTATTCTGAGATTCCAGAGCCGCGTGTAAATCATCCCCGGGGATACCTTTCTCCCCCTGGGCCTCTTCCCCCACAACCCCAAGATTTAATAACAGCCCAGTATTCTGCGAGCCCCATCGAAAGCACAAGTCCTCCATATGCAGCCAAGATACTTGAAAGCTTGTCAACAAGAGCAACCATCACACTTAAACAGCTGATTTAGACAAGCACAAAAGCACATGCCAAGCCTGGCCACAAAGTGCTTTTAATTACACACACACACACACACCCCTTCCAATAACTTGGCAAACCTTCCCCAGCATCACCTTCATCTAAACGTCTGCCTTTTATAGTCTTGGAGGAGACTCTTCATGTCTCTCTCTCTCTCTCTCTCTCTCTCCTCCCTCCTTGCTTTCTCCTCCTATCCCAGAATGCAGGATTTGATCACCGTCCAACTGACTCCTTCTCCTTATCTCAGCTATTCGCAGTTGAGAAGAGTCGACCTGGAAAACATGCTCGTCTCCTGAGCTTAATTTGCCTGCATCCGTAGAACGGCACGATGCAGCAAACACACATTCCTGGTTCGTGATTAGACATGGAAAGAGAAACCTAGGCGGCAGATTCAGAAAGTTAAGTGCTGCCACCTGCGTATTTATAAACATTTTACAGGCCTTCGCCTTAAGTAAAGATGTCAAAGAATCAGTTGAGCTAGAAATCTTCCTGAAAGTCAAGGATTTTATCAAGACGTCGGCTATAACAGCTGTGCCAGGCCTTGCCTTCTCTTTCCATTCACTGTCCCTAGAGTGTAGCCAAGAATTGGCCAGCATGGCCTTTTTTTGAGACCAGATATTGGGAAACTTATTTTTAATTACGAGATGTTCAGGAGTGGGATTCAAAACTCCCAAGCAATAGGTTCACTGCCTCCCAGTTTGGAGCCTTGGCCTAAGCATTCAGGAACATGGATCTTGCTCCTTATTTCCAAGACAGCTTAGAAAGACCAAGCACCAATGGGAGCTAATTTAGAGACCGTTTGCTCACTGAAGGATCACTGAAGGTAATGGCAAGCATCCTACATTTCCTATAAGAGTGCCAAGTGGAGAGCTGATCTCTCTTTGCAAGGCCACTTCACCTTATGCCAAGGGTTTGCGTTGGATGAATAACTGCAATTGTTTATAAAGCCAGCAATCATGCTAATGGGCAATGCCAAAATGAGTGCAGAATTGCGAGCAGTTGCAAAGATAGGCTCATGGCTGAACATCCTCACAGCGGCACACGCACGCACAGCTTCCCGACTTGCACACATTCTCAGACCTGTTCTCTCTCTCTCTCTCTCTCTCTCTCACACACACACACACAGAGAGAGAGAGAGAGAGAGAGAGAGGAGCTTCTCGATTTATTATTGCTGTCCGTGGAAAAACAGCTGGCCTGGTTTATTCCTATAACAGCAGAAGATTTAAAGAGAAAACCTGGAAGACATTTTCTGGCTGCAACTAGGCAGGAGAGATAGTCCTTGAACACGATGGTCCTAAATCTCCCAGCCAGATCTGCTCTTGGCCATGATAAAGACAGTAAACATCAGCACAAGAGATGCTGAGCAGAGTGTTCAACCTTTTAGCCTGTTCTGGGTTAAATATATATGTCCAGAAGTGTTGACATGTCACAAACATACACACTGACCTCAGAGCTGTGGCCATGTCAGCCAAGGTCTATTAGTGTTTTTTATTTCATTTAGCAACTAAATTATGGTGCTACTCAAATCCAAACTCCCATGTTACTGCTTCAGGCTGCTGTGCTATTCCTGGGTAGAGCCAGCTCTGCCATTAGGGAGAATGGTGCACTTCTCTCAAGGAGATCGCAGTAGCACTCAGACTTATATACCGCTTCACAATGCTTTACAGCCTTCTCTAAGTGGTTTACAGAGTCAGCCTCTTGCCCCCAACAATCTGGTTTCTCATTTTACCCACCTTGGAAGGATGGAAGGCTGAGTCAACCTTGAG